CCCGGAAATGTCATTTCCTGCATTCTGAGCATCCAAATTTGCTCCAAAATTTATCCTAACTATACTTGTATTTGAAATAAATAAAGGAAGAAACGCACAAAAAGTAACAAAAATTAACAATCATTTATCATTACTTATTAGAGGAGGATAGCAATGGTCAGGTGTGTGGGGGTGTACTCCCCCAGAAAATTTTTGAAATTTGAAGCACGGAAATGCCATTTCCTGCATTCTGAGCATCCAAATTTGCTCTAAAATTTATGCTAACTATAGTTGTATTTGAAATAAAAGATGGAAAAATGCACAAAAAGTAACAAAGAATATTAAATGTAATTTATCATTACTTATTAGAGGGATAATCCCAAGAAAATTTTTGAAATTTGAAACCGTGAAATGCTATTTCCTGCATTCTGAGCATCCAAAAAATAAAAAAATTATTAACAATAATTTATCATTACTTAGTGGTAAAAAGTAACAATTTAAATCGATTTTGTTAAACAAGAACAAAGGATAAAGCCTAAAACTTCCTTTCTGTTTATCTATTTGTTAATCTTCGCTGGATTGTTTGTATAATTTTAGGAAAAAGGGAGTTTTCCTGGGGGGGGGCAAAATGTTATTTCGTGGGGGGGGGGGACAAGGGGGGACTGGGGGACATTTGCCCCCCCCCCAGCTTGTATGAAAAAAAAGGCCCTGATAAGCGTACACCTCTCTTAAGCGGACACCTCTCATTTAAGCGGACACATATCTCAGGTCCCATTCATTTTTTTTAATAAAAGACTATGATCATAACCCCTATTAAGCGGACACCCCTCTTTAACGGACGCAGACACCTTACTTGAGGTCCCAATGGGCAAACCATCTCTCTGAAGCGGACCTGACATGACAGATTTTCTGATAAAATGTATTCAATATTCGACAGTAAATAAGAATTGAGATCAATTTACATCGCACATTGACAGTGACACACCAACTTGGCGCGAAGACATCAGAGCCAAGATTATTGAGGAAGTGACGAACGAGGACGGAGGACTGTGAACCACCAGCCGAGGAGCCGAAAGATATGTGTCAGATCACTGATGATGACAACGAACTGAACGAAGATGGCGAATTTGACTGGTCTCTTAACGAACGTACGTACCAATCATTAAATCATCCTCCGAAGCCCTTAATGTTGTCGAGCGGCTGGCAGGATTTGCACAATTTCGAGGTTTGGAAGAACTTTCCAACGCCATTTTTATGTAAATGACATTATAATGGGCTATCGTTTTCGTGAGCCTCGAACGCAAACTTGTATCGATTACTTTTTTATATGACTGCGAGGGACGTATGCATTTTCTAATGAACTTTTATGCACAAGGAATTTTCATTTTTAATATTCTAATTATTTGCTAGATATTTTCTACTGTTTCGATACTCAAATTACACACCTGATTACACACCTTTGCCTCCTGCTACGTTTTTCTACATACATACGGATTAACATACCCCTTTTAAGCGGACACTTAAAAAGGGGGCGACTGTAATTCGTCAGTGTACGTAGGCTTTCAAATACTGCATGGCAGCTGATTCATGAAGGTTTACGTTCTCCTGGAAAATGCAAAGTACACACTCTATGGCATATTGTTGGAGAAAATCTTTGCAGGCAATTATTACATTTATCCACTTTTTACGGAATTCCTTTGATTCCACATTTCTACCTTTTGGAAAATTATAAAAGGAAAGCTCGGCATTTCTTTTGTTGTTGCAGTTGCGTAGCCAAGGGCAAGGGAAGGGGGAGTCTTCCCTAGAGTAAAAATGCCTATATGGTGGTTGAAAGCACATTTGAACTTGAATTTACGCGCATAGCAGCAATCAAAGTTCATTCTTTAGGGGGACTATTATTGAGGAGGGAAGTCTTTCCGCAAACAGCGCAATTTTTTTCTCTTGTTCCGTCAACCGCACGTCATTTTGTTGTATAACCGTAACCGCCATGTTTTCCACACAAAGCAATAAAGACCATCCATTTTCTATACGACTCATAATTCAAGCATTTAAAAATGCCATGAAGGACGGATAGCGTATGCGCCGTTATGAAAGGGTACTGATCGTGAATTATATTTCTAACCGTAATCTGCGAATAAACTTGCCTAAGAACCGAAAACCGTGCGATAAAGTCGCGAAATTCCGCCACCGCTAGATAATTTCCTCACCGTAAACCGTTACAAAAATCGATACTTTTCCGTAATCCGACTCACAAAATAGACAGAAACCGCTTAACCGCCAGACGATAATAGGCCCCCTCTTTAGCTTTTTTATTACAATATAATTTCCACTTCAAAAACGAAGACATCGTGCAATTTTGCTGTTGTATTTGTGTGTACTGTACGATGTTTCACAAAAATATTTTTTCGATCTAACAACATTAGGCGACTTAAAAATGGCTTTTTGTGGTTGTAACTTTTCTTCAAACCTCGCCCTAATATATGTGAATGAGCGTTCTAATGAATCTAACGGACGCGGACACCTTACTTGAGGTCCCAATGGGCAAACCATGTATTCAATATTCGACAGTAAATAACAATTGAGATCAATTTACATGGCACATTGACAGTGACACACCAACTTCGATGCAAGTTTGCTTTCGAGGCTCACGCAGACGATAGCCCATTATAATGTCATTTACATAATAATGGCGTTGGAAAGTTCTTTCAAACCTCGAAATTGTGCGAATTCTGCCAGCCGCTCGACAACTTTAAGGGCTTCGGAGGACGATTTAATGACTGGTTCGTTAAGAAACCACTCAAATTCATCATCTTCGTTCAGTTCGTTGTCATCATCAGTGATCTGACACATATCTTTCGGCTCCCCGGCTGGCGGTTCACAGTACTCACCGTCCTCGTTCGTCACTTCCTCAATAATCTCTCTGATACTTCGCGCCAAGTTGGTGTGTCACTGTCAATGTGCCATGTAAATTGATCTCAATTGTTATTTACTGTCGAATATTGAATACAAATTATCAGACAATCTGTCATCTGTCCGCTTAAGAGAGGTTGGTTTGCCCATTGGGACCTCAAGTAAGGTGTCCGCGTCCGCTAAATTCATTAAAACGCTCTTTCACGTATATTAGGACGAGGTTTGAAGAAAAGTTATACATGACCACAAAATGCCATTTTTAAGTCGCCTAATGTTGTTAGATCGAAAAAATATTTTTGTGAAACATCGTACAGTACACACAAATACAACAGCAAAATAGCACGATGTCTTCGTTTTTGAAGTGGAAATTATATTGTAATAAAAAAGCTAAAGAGGGGGCCTGTTATAGTCTGGCAAATAATTAGCATATTAAAAATTTCTTTGTGCATAAAAGTTCATTAGAAAATGTATACGTCTCTCTGAGTCATATAAAAAAGGAATCGATGCAATATATGTGGTGTAACTTTTCTTCAAACGTTGTCCTAATATACGTGAAAGAGCGTTCAAATGAATCTAAAAATTGAAAATTTTCCCAGGGAAGCATGCCTGCGATCCCTCTATATTCTTCCCGCCGTTGGCGCTCGCATTCCAAATGCCATAAATTCCCCCACCCCACCCCACTCCACCCCACCCCAAGTTTAGACCCTGGCTAGGAAAACAGCACGTAAAACTGCCACTTCTTTCGCTCGTGCTGGTGGATAAAAGCTGTTGCCGTTACTTTCATGGTTGCAACAAACTAGGGTCTTCATTGGCTTGAACAGCCTCTAAAAGACGGTAAAGAACAGCAGCACACTCACCTATGTCACAGAATAGAGACGCCATCATTTGCAATGATATTCGTATTCCTAGCCTGATCTATAAGAGGCATTCACTCCCCTGAACGTCCGCCATTTTTGAATATGTTCAGGGGTAAATGCCTCTCATAAGCGCACTGGCAATTAAAACGAAGAAGTCGACCTCCTGTGTGTCACTGTGTCTCTATTCTGTACAGGGCATTTTTTAAGAAATTACAACTACTGGGGCTAAGCCTCAATGAGGGCCTTTTTCTCACACAGTTACGCGTACATAAAGACCATGCTGTGTCGACTTTTATAAGATGGAATATCAAGAATGTGAGAGGACATGAGAAAGCAGGCAAATGCAGCTTTTTCACCAAGGTTGACTTTTTACTAACAATCAAAAGGGCCCAGTTCATCTGAAAATATTGCTTCACTACTGGGGCGAGAAAGGGTCTACTGGGGTAAATGCCCCAGTAGTTATATAGTTAAAAAATGCCCTGATTCTGTAGACTGTACCCTATCTATTGTTTTCCCGCCATGTAGTACTACTGACGAGAAGCCTTGAACGTGTTCACGCGTGGTCCGCACGAAATGTTACGTGACGAAATATTCTGTCCCGCGTGAGAAAACATGGCCGACAAAAAGGCAAAACCGGCACCAAGTCCGGCGGCATTTACTCCACCAAAATGGTAGTTTATTACTGGTGTTGTTGGATATTTTATTTGATAATTCTTTGTTAACTCGTGTATTTATTACAGGGCAGGAAAACCTTCGGTTGGATTGCATTTGGACGTGACGAAAAATGGCAACGTGGTTGAGGTAAACAAGTAGTGTTGTTCTCCAGACTTCTCCTGCCTTGCCAGTGGTGGGCAAGTTAGACATGATAATTTGTTGCCCGAAATAAAGTCTAGTTTAATTCTAGTTTTGCCCTCACACTAAGGATTGATTAATCAACATTCTAAGGCGATGTCTATATTATACGGAGGCGACCCAAGCTAGTTTGCATTGCGAGCTGATTTCATGATTTTCATCCAGCGTTTACATGAGACTTTTGAGACAGGCTGGCTCGCCAAAACAAACCATTGGTCTCACCCATATAAATTGTGTAATACAAATATATTTTTCACAGACCTGAAATTCGCACTTTCGCGAGCATTACTTTCACGGATATAACCCACAGAATCATTCACAGAGACGTTTTTACTTTTAAGATCAAAATCTGTCGAAAAAATCTTATTTACAACAATATATTCGTATGAACAGAGCATTAACACTCAGTCTGCTTAGGCGAGATGGCCCAGGTCTTTGCGTTTATATCAGTGATGTTTTCCAGGGGAACGCGGTCCCCCCCACTTTTTTTACCACTGGGGGAACGGCGTCCCCCTGCCTAAATCAAGCATGGGGGAACAGCGTTCCCCCTGGCAGGGATAAATATGAGTGAATTTCAGTGAACGCAGTTCGACACCGTCCAAATAATTTTGGCTATCACTTGTACTTTAAAGGCAATAATTGCTCTGCATCTTACGTAGAAATACTTCAGAACGTAATTTTGTCACTATTTTAATCTCCCTGAAACTTGATATACTTGCAGAAAATTCTAGCAGACTAGCACAAAAATACTAGAGTCTGATAATTCATGTGAATCGCGTCCGCTTAGATAAGTACTTATTGTCATATTAAGCGTGGATAACGGCAGGATATTATTAGTATAGTCTTTCGCGCAATCGTGAAATTAAACATTAAAATGAACATTACTATTATCAATGGGAACATAAAATGATTCAATAATCTGAACATTAACATGATTAAATGGGAAAAATTCAAGGATATCTATTATCTAAGCTTATTTAGTTACTCGTTCATTAACATGATTAAATGGGAAAAATTCAAGGATATCTATTATCTAAGCTTATTTAGTTACTCGCGAAAACGTCATATTTAACTTGCAAAGTTGCCTGCTTGCCGAGTTGCCGGCTTGCCGCATACTCAGTGCTCACAAATTCGAAAGTCAACGTGGTTTTATTGGCTTTTTGACATCTACCGTGAGCAAGCTAGGTGGGTTTTTTTAGGTAACATGTTTTACTAAATCCACTTCAAAAATTAAGCTATTGCGACGTCTGGTTCACTGTGACTATGCATGAGGCCACGCCCAATTGAGTGACCACGCCCATATGATTTTCAAGAGCGTCCCCCCATTTCTAAAATTAGCAAAACATCGCTGGTTTATATGGGAATTTCCCAGCCCGGTCACCTGAGTTCTCGGGCCAATCAAGGCGGGAACTCGCTCAGGTGGGTTAGCTCATATCCCATGTAAAAGCAAAAAGAAAATTAGAGCTGAAATCAGCAATTCATGATCAAGTCTTCAAATGACTTTGTTAAGAAAAACATAAGATTAGGGGCTGTTATTTTAATTTATTTATTTACTTTGCCATCATACTTATACTGTACATTCATTGGCTGGGAAACCACTGACAACAGCTATTGCCACTAATTACAGTGGCCCGAACAGTTATACGAAAACAATTTACTGTACAAGGTATACTAAACACACACAATAAACAATACTTTAACAACAGTCATAACATGATGTCTAAAACAGCATGTCAATGGAGAGTTTATATGGGGCGAGCCAGCCGAGCACCCGAGCTGGCCCGGTTTAGGTGAGATCCCGCCTTTGTTATTATTTCTAAAACAAAGTGCATAACATAAACAAGGAAACAATTTTTTTGTAGCAATTAATTTCTGGCAAAACATTAAAACAACTTGCCCAATTGGGCAACCAACAAGCAACTTAACATCTACTTGCCTGCAATAAGTAAAAAAAAAAATGTGGGTTTCCGGTTTCCCGACCCTACCTAGCATTTTTTGGCCTAACTTTCACTTGCCACAGGCAAGCGTTACTTTACATCACTGCTTTCCATATCCAGGCTAGTCAGTATGTTGATTCGTACTAATCCTTAAGACAGTTCATACCCACAGTTTAAGATCACTTTGTGCCTGAATTTTTATGGTGAAAGTTTAAGTTGAATTTGTAATTTTATTTATGATTAAGTTTTTAAGTTTGTTTCTCTTGCCTTAACTTATTAAGAACAAGATACCTGCTCAGCTTAGGCATTGACTCAGGGGAGGGAACACTGCAGTCAAACATTTGCACATATACTGTATATTAAACAAATTTTGTGTGTGAACAATCAATAACAAAATTAAGCACCCAGCTAGCACTACTGAGGAAAATTACACACACAGTTGATAATTTTCTAACAATTTATTACGCTTTGCAAGATACAGTGAGTATATTCAGCTTTATCTGCTTCTTAATGGTAATTCAATTCTCTCCCAAAGGTGTGGGAAGTCTGTCGAATATTTCTCGATAAAGAGAGTGAAACTTGATGCTCAAAGATCAGACCTCTTCAACTTTTATTCTGTAGACTTGAACACCTAAAACAAAATCGAACCATTGCACTTTCGCGATATGAAACCGGAACCACAGATTTGTTTTAGGCCCAATGAGGAAAACTACGTACACTGTATATAGCTGAGGTCAGACTGTTAGCACCCTCGGTAAATCCACTGTAAATGAGCGATGGCATTCGAGTCACAACGTCGACGCTTTGAAAACTGTTATATTGTGTTGTACAAATACCATTATTAAAGATTCATTTGTACAAAATTGCCTGTACATTTTTTGCTTTTGGACCAGTAAACTATACGTAGGTATAAAAACACATGACTCTGAAGTAGTCTTAGGTACGTCTTGACTCTTAAGTTTGCACCAGATCAGGTACGAGGCAAAAGTTGTCGGAGTACCAGTCAGGTACGGCTAAAAATATTGAATTATCGCACCCTGATGTTTAATGGCAATTAAAATTACCATGGAAACAGTTACTTTTACTAATTTTCTCAAAAGAAACCGGCATATAAAAGACTAAAAAAACTTTGCAAAATCTTTTTAAAAGCAGATGAACGTTTTGAAACGTGTAAGAATGTGTTAGAACGTTTTAAAACGTGTTGGAACGTTCTACAACGTTTTAAGGCAAAATTCTCAACATGTATGCCAAGGGGGTTTTGGTGTCCATGTAAGACTCTCAGATATGCGAATCTTTCAGAACGTGGTCACTTGATCACGGCCGCCGAGAGGTTGGCGGGGGGCCAGGGCAAAAAAAAATTTAGGGGCCCCTATCTAAAAAATTTTTCCTGGAAAATTGTTTTTTAGGAGAACAACCTCCCCCCGTTGACAACTTTTTAGGTAAAAAAAAAACAGCACCTTGGGGCCCTGGCAGGGTTTTTTCAGGGATTTTTTTAATCTTGAATTGAGTTTTGAAACTCAATCTTCTCACCAAAGTTTCAATGCAGTAAAAATGAAATTGTTTGAGTTAAATTCGTGACATGTGGAAATTATTTTTCAGTTGGAAACCCGACAATTAAGAAAAAATGGCTGGAATTCATCTCACAACACAAGAAAAACTATGCATTCGCCATCTTTAACCAGTTTATAGTGTCCCTCAGTGCCCCTGCTTTAACACATTCCGTCTCAACTACATTTATTGAGTACAAGTGTCAGCCCCCCGGTAGGGGGGGGGGGGTGCAACCACCCCAGCTGTTCAGCTAAACTTAATCTTCTCTGCAAAAACAGACCCAAGAGAAAATCCTGAAAAAAACCTGGGGCCCGGGGCAATTTGCCCCCCCCCCTGCCCCCCCCTCTCTGCGGCCCTGCACTTGATTATTGTACAGTATAACTTTACTGTACGTTTTGTGTGCTGTCTGAGTTTGAATTATAATAACAGAATCAAAGAAATTATAATAATAACATTAATTAATGTGCATGATCTAGTATAGCGTACTGTATTTGCATATTTTTTCTATTTATATCTTACTCTTTACACTCTTTGTATCAGACATGAATACGCAGTACTACTGATAGGATGTTAGACTGTAGCCTGTAGCAGACAATTAGAAATCATTTGACTAAACTTAGGTTTTGCTGGCAAGGCCGCACACATGGGGGGGGGGGGGGCAGGTGTGGGCAGCAGGGGCTACTCCCCGCCGGAGAAAATTAAACTGACGATTTTTATTAAACGAAATGGCTTATAATCTTGTGAATCAGAATGTACAATTCTGTATGGGGCAGCCACATTGCAGTCATAAATATGCATCTAACTGATATGGCGGCTTTAAATGCATTTATATGTGGGTACGTATTTCAGCATACTGCCCCTTGATGAAAAGTCATGTGTACATCTCTGTCAGCTGGCTTGGAAATTTTAACCATTACACTTTTGTATATGTTTGTATTTAACCGATAATATTGTTAAAAGGTTACAAAAGGTTAAAAATATGAACTTCTGGTTAGTGTTTGGCAACTGGTATCTGACATATGTAATTGTACTGTAGCTCAGTGGTCATAACCGGAGTTGCAGTGCCATAGATTTGATTCCTGCTTGGGGGACTATGGTTCCATTTTTATCAGCAGCTAAAATATTATATGATTTTGTTCGAAATTTCCGTCCACGAAAACCATTAACATTACACTATCTTTCAGAAATTGATGATCGATCAGAAACCGTTCTATCTGTTTGGACGAAATAAAGATGCTTGTGATTTCCCACTGGATCATACGTCATGTTCAAGAGTTCATTCTGCCTTAGTATTTCATAAACATTTAAAGAGACCTTTCTTAATCGACTTGAAAAGTAGTAAGTAATCTTGCTTTGTTAAATACAGTAAAACCCAGGGTAGACCCACCTTATATTTATGCTTTTAATGTTTATGGGTTCCCACAGGGAACACAGGGTTCCCATGTAGTAGGATATAGAGTAGGGTGGTTTTTTGAAAGAAATAAGCGCCTGTGTGGTGCTGAGGGTCCTGGTCCTGGGGGAAAGGATCCTAGGCCAACCCCTCCCCCATGAAGACGAAATTTAGACCCTCTGAAATAGCATTTTCAGCCATTGTGGCGAGTACTACATAGTTTTGGAGATACCGACTTATTACCGAAATATTTAATGAAGAATATCGTTTAAAAGGTACAGGTGTGTTATTAAAGCGAGAAACCTTTCCCTTGACATTTCTGTTGTAAAAAGGAAATACATATGGTGAAAATGCCGGGTACCGGCTATTATTGGGAAGCCTGGGTACGGTAGTGCAGACACCAAATTCAGCAGCCAAGTGTCAAAATTTGTTATATGGGCTTTCATTGCATGTTGGAAACCGCACGCTTCGCATTGGTAACATGAAGATTTCATTTAACTTTATCAAACTTTATAAACTATTGTATACCAAATATGCCACCACATTGTTTTCACGTCGAGTCCAGAGTGGAAGGCAGCCATACTGAAGGTCTGTGCCAGTGTAGGTATAGTGTCAATATATATTCACTTAAAGTGTATATATACTCACTTGGATTACTAGTCCTAAAAACAGCATTCTAATATTAATTCCACCAAGTGAAGTGCAAGAAACAAGATCATTGAAGTCCACCTTATCACAACCCGCACACCCGATCACCTATATATACATGAACTTACGGTTACAGCTCAACAGCTGGCCTCTGTAGCTCAGTTGGTTAGAGCGCTGTACGGGAATCGCAGGGCCGTAGGTTCAATTCCTACCAGAGGACCTTGTGCTGCATTTTTCGCAGTCCGTGTTCCTGGTCAGGTCTTAAAGTGTATATATACTCACTTGGATTACTAACCCTAAAACCAGCGTTCTAATATAGTATATGTAGTTGTTGAATGTGCACGTTTCGCGTTTATTTAAAAATTGATTAGAATTAAATTAATAACATGTAATTTTAATACAACCATGGTTGTTTTGCGACCATTTTATCATGGTTGAAATCGTTTGCTTATGAAAATGCATTAAAAATTACTGTTGTTAATTATATATTTAAATTTAATATTCAATCTTGCATCATGCTTGGGTAGCTTAACAAAGTGTAATTTTGAATCATGGTTGTTTGGAGAAAATTTTATCACGATTGACAATTCAGGGTAAATGTTAATATATTTTATCGACGTAATTGGCCTTTCTTTGGTGAGTTGTGTCTGCACATATAAGAAAACACGCAAAGGTATATATATAGTTGTTGAATGCATTTGCATGTTTCGCGTTTATTTAAAAATTGATTAAAATAACAAGAAAGTCTTGCAGTAGAATAAGCTTGTAATTTTAATACAACCATGGTTGTTTTGCGACCATTTTATCATGGTTGAAATCATTCGCTTATGAAAATGCATTAAAAATTACTTGCATCATGCTTGGGGAGCTTAACCAAAGTGTGGTTTCTGAACCATGGTTGTTTGGAGACAATTTTATATATCATGGTTGACAATTTCAATTTCCGTGTGAATGTAATCGACATTGACATTGAAAGTTAAGATCTACGACGTTGAATGTTAAGATCTAGACGACTTAGAAATTAGTCCCGTACATAATCATATTCATATGTAGAACGATATCAAAAACGTTTACTGCAACTTCCCATGCATGCAATCCAATCCAATTGTGTTTACGCACCCATGGGGTCAGTATACTGTATACAGGGTGTCCCCAAAAAATGTCCTGTTCACCAGCAGAATAAGGTGAATGTCTAAGTTCACTTAGGAAAAATCCCTGTGTGGTTGCACATTAACCATTCTGTAAGCTGTATGACCGTTACAGCAACGTCACCTAATTATGCTCTAAATATATATGCATGAGGTGCTCAAGATTAAAAGAGACGCAAGGTAATTTGTATAGTCTCTCGTTGTAGATATCGTTGATCGTTTTATTTCCATTTAATGACAGAGCATATAAGTACATTAAATATGGCTAAGTATCTCGCTTCTTGGCAGTCATAAAAAAATAATGACTCGGCCCGAGCCATTATACTGATCCTAGCTGTGTAGGTCAATTTGTTCATACAGCGGTCAGTCACTATATACTGTACCTTGAAAAACGACGTACATTAATAATAATAAATAATAAATACTATAAATAATAATAGATATAAATACACGTGTGTTTATCGCATACTTAATTGGTCGTTAAAATGCAATTTTGTAGTCAATTTTGTAGTCGAATGTATAACGACGTCATGCATGCAGTATATATATTGCATGGAATTAAGGTGCATGAGTGTATATGTGTCAGTGCGCTCTTCAAGGGGTTATGTGATATTGCAGGTCTTCAACCTGGGACCCAGAAATTTTAATCCAAATTTTTGCAGAAATTTTCAGAAAATTACACTGATTAAATATTTTGTAAAATACTGAATACACCTGATTATCGAAATGACTGAATACCAAATTCATCTCCCGGACTAGATATACCTTAATTATAACCGGAACCAGGGCCTCTTTTAAGGATGTGTAACTGGGCAGGACATATTTCGCGGGGGATCTGGAGAAACCAGCATATATATATGCATGGTTTAACTAATAGGTATACGTCATAGGGCAAGAGATCAGGCCCGTATCTAGGATTCTGAGACAACCCAGTCGAGCACCGAAGGTGCGAGCCGTCTATAGAGGGGTCTGGCATACACCCCAGCATTTTTAGGAGTGTTCCAACAAGAAATTAACCTTATAAACAATGACACAATTACTGAAATTTTACAGTCTCCCAAATGTAATCCAGTCCCGATAAGGCAACATGATGTGATGATGCGGTAATGAAAATGTGTGTTGCATTAGTAATATCGGCAATCATCACCATTCAAATTCTACAGTACTGTATTACGTGTATTGGGGTACCTGATATCGACGCATTCGTCTTCTCAGTGTCACTGAAGAGCAAGATAGGGTGGTCCCTTTGGAGTATATTTGCTTGGAAAAAGTAAACTAGAAATTCGTCCTAAAATGCCATTTCATGCCTTTTTCCACGAGCAAATTATTTCAGCCTGCATGGTGTTGGTTTTTGGCAATGTTTGAATTTCAGCCCCCAAATTCCTGCCGACTCAACTGACTCGGTTGACACATAGCTAGTTACAGGCCTCTTTTAACATATAGACTGGGAGGAGACATGTCCGCCCAGCCATTTTAGTGGCACCTCCAGTCGGCAATTTTGTCCCCCCCCCCGTTCCAGATCCCTAAGAACTACCTGCAGTAGGTGGTCAACCAGCAATTATACATCAAAGTGACAAAATGATGTTAAGTTGATTTCTGAATTTGACCATCATCTGCAGGCACCGGAACGTCATTTTTCCAATTTTTTCCGTGTAGTTTACACTTTTGTGGTCAAAGTTTGCATGCAAAAACGTTAAACCTTACAGAGTACCGCTGGAATCGAACCAGCGTACCAATGTGGCAAACCATTGAACTCCAATAGAGGAAGGATACTTTTTGGATTTTCTACAGAAACATTAATTGCTGTGAAAATACGGAGATAACTTCAATGTGCATGGATTTTACTAATCAATGACCATGCAACTTTAGAAGGCTTGCACAATACTATGAGTAAGGATAGCGCTATCCGGGAAGCAGAATATGCAAGATTGAATACAAATAATGCATGAATATTGAGTTCCAAACAAGTTTGAATATGAAGATTTGTTGTATGAATGTGATAGTTAGGGTATGAATATGGGATATGAATATTTGCAACAAAATTGGAAGGAATATATTTTCCTCGTCCTCCCATTTTTCATACTGCATATGATACCAGATGAAGAAATTTGGTGATCTATACCCGCGACATTTTGGACTTTTTTAATTAACGACATGCATGGGGTCTATTGCACAAAGGCACCCCCGATATACAAAAAACAATAAAAATACTACAGAATAATTATATTATCTAACACACAATAAACATTACAACAATGGTATCTTATAAGTATTTATTTATAATATTATTAATTGTCTTTCAAATGCAACACACGAATAAAGTCCTGTGCATATATATAGCAAGTGTGTTCAAACATTATATTATGCTGCGTGTATATACATATGGATAATACTTATAGAAAAGCGATATATGGTGATAGGAACCAATGCACACGGACTGACGTACGAAAACCTGAAATATAGAAGCATGAAAATATTTTTAGAAATACAGATTATTGCGCAGATATAATTTTAAAGGCATTATACCAATTTTGCCTCAAATTCAATGCGTATTACCTTACTGAATATATAGGCTTCATGCTTCATAATTAAAAAACCTTGTTACAACCTCGTTATAAGTGTAAACAAATTTATTTTACGGTTCGAACCGGCAAACCGAGGCCGCCATTGCATATTTTTTATGTTTTCAAACTAACCAAAACCAATCACCAGCGGGTTATTTTGCATGACTAAACATTTTCCGGTTATGAACTTATGACATAACTATAGGTCTAAATAACCCGCTGCTGATTGGTTTTGGCTTAGTTTAAAAACATCAAAAATACGCAAAAATTTTCCTGTTCGAGCTGTAATAGTATAGCTCTCTTTCTGAGAATTTCGTCTTTAGAATACTGCGAAAATACCACAAGAGGTTATACATGTAGATTATCTGCATGTGATTCAGTGTCACCTGCATGTGACGTACATGTATGAGGTGTACTGCACGTACGTTATAGTTTGTATAAGAGACCGTTCACACCAGGGATTTATAGA